TATCAGAGAGGGGTAGGATGGGGGATCTGAGGAGTCCGCCGATCCCCGCTTGCGGGGGGTGAAAAGGCGTGTAGGATGATTGGCTCTCATCCCTCCCCCTTTCCCCCTCCCCCGTGGTACAAAATCCCGTTCGAGGAGGGCTGGGTGGGGGGTGGGGAGCACGAGCTCGTCACTGCATCTCTGGTGCCCCAGAGCCTCAAATCAACCCTCCGTGGCCGCCAAGGTGCCCAAGGCGCTTTCTAAGATGCACCCAGACAGGACTCCAAACCGGCGAAGAGGCCTAAAAAACACTCCAGGCGGCCTCTAGACGGCCATAAGCGCAGAAAAGGGCTCCAAGAGGACCACCAGGAGGCCAAGACAACGTGAGAGGCCCCCCGGGCTCAAGAGTCCCCAAGAGGGCCCAGAGACGGCCCAAGAAGGCCCAAAGACGACCCAAGAGGCCCCCCACGACGACAACAAGTCTCCGAAGAGGGCTCAGGAGGGGCCCACGAGAGGCCTCTTGTGGGGGATCCGCAGGCAGGAGCCCTCCCTCACGAGGTGGTCCCCTAAGACCCCCAGTTTGCCTCCACGAGGCTGGCCTCTGGGCCTTCGAAGGGCCCCCAAGCAGCCTCGCAGCAGACGCGCAGGACGAGGAGGACGAAGCAGCAACAGCCACATCGCAGGCAAAGCACGACGGGAAGCGGCACACAGTGCGAACGAACGCGCGTGCTTGTCTCTCCCCCCCCTGTGAGTTTTTTTTTTGTTGGACTATTTTTGAATATTCCTCCTGTAGAGGGACAGACCCGACTTAACACTAGCCTTTAAATTTTGACGACGTCCAAGATGCCCATCCTCGCCGCCAAGACGGTCCCAAGGAGCCTCAAAAGCGGCACAATACTTACCAAACAGGTGCTCAAGACGCCCAAACAATGGAGCGCCAATATGGCCCCAAGACTGCCCCCCAAACCGCCCAGAGTGCTCCCACATGCCCAAGACAGCCCAAGCTGCCCTCAAAACGTCCCCCCCCCCCCCCCGCAAGACCGCCCATAATCGGACCAAGCGCTCGTCCGGTCGTGCCCCTCGCGAAGCTGTGCGTATCCACTTCATGCTTCTCGTGCTGTTCAAAATTATCTTATAGAAACGTCCTGCTTGTAATTTCTGTCACGCGCCGCAAGGTACCTCACAGGCACATCTGGCACACCTGCTGTGAGCTCATCTCGGGCTAAGAGGTCCATGTGCCAGGAGCCCCAGATCCTGGGTTTGTCCCGAGTCGTCGTGGGGCCCTCGTGCAGTCCTGTGTAGATGTCTGTGGCAAGCCCAGGCAGATGCTACGTACATGTCCGATGTCCTTCTTTGTCTGTGGACGTTCAGGCCCGTGAGCCTACAGCTGACGTTCTACGTTAGAGAACGACTACGAGCAATGGGGGTCTGACGCGTTCGTGGGCGGGAGCGCCTTGCGGTCCAGCATCCGATTTGAGCCGACATCTATTGTCTGAAATCCTTGAGCCTACTCGGCGGTTCTTGATCCCCGCGCACACCCCAATTTTGAACATGCCCTGGAGTGTAGGATGTGGATGCGCACTTGAGCTGAGAACCTCTCGGCAATTAATTTGTTTCGCAAAGCTCGGATCAGACCTCCAGCGTATCGACAACATCAATGCACTTGTTCTGCCAATTTCGGCCTCCGGGGCCATTGCTGGGCCCGGGGGCCGTCAAAACATTCGCCTGGCGAAGGACCCAACATGCAGTTGTGAATACCGCAATTGTGGGTATCTTCGGTGGAGCTCCCTATGGGCCTCGAAGCGCTATACTGAGTGGGGGGGACGCATGTGGACTTTGCCCCTGGGGCCTTCGGCGGAGCTCCCTATGGGGCCACGACGCGCTATACTGGATGGGGAAGTCGCATGCGAGTGCAGCCACTGGGGCCTTCGGTGGATGGGGGCACGAAACGCTTTGCGCGGTGGGGGAGACGTACGCGAGTGCAGCCACTGGGGCCTTCGGTGGAGCTCCCAATGGGGGCACGAAGAGCTCTACCGGGTGTGGAAGACGCATGCGAGCGCAGCGACTGGGGCCTTAGGTGGAGCTCCCTATGGGGCCACGAAGCGCTGTAATGTGTGGGGGAGACGCAGTAACTGGGGCCTTCGGTGGAGCTCCCTATGGGGCCACGAAGCGCTGTAATGGGTGTGGGAGACGCAGCCACTGTGGCCTTCGGTGGAGCTCCCTATGGGGCCACGAAGCGCTGTACTATGCAGGGGAGATGCATGCGAGTGCAGCCACTGGGGCCTTCGGTGGAGCTCCCTATGGAGCCACGGAACGCTGTACTTGGTGGGGGAGACGTATGCGAGTGCAGCCGCTGGGGCCTTCGGTGGAGCTCCCTATGGGGGCACGAAACGCTGTACTGGGTGGGGGAGACGCATGCGAGTAGAGCCAGTGGGGTCTTCGGTGGAGCTCCCTATGGGGCCACGGCGCGCTGTACTGGATGGGGGAGTTGCATGCGAGTGCAGCCACTGGGGCCTTCGGTGCTCCCTATGGGTGGGGCCAAGGTGCGCTGTACTGGGGGGGGGGGGAGACGCTTCGTGATGAGGGCAGAGGCAAGGAGGGGGAGGAAGGAGGAGGGAGGAGGGGGAGGAGGGCGGGAGTTGACGCGGGACGCTCTCTTCAAAACGAGGACCCAACACCACAATATGGTTGGGAACTACTCAGGATGAGAAGCTGGCCTCTCGGAAAGGGTCGGGACTTCTGAGGACCTTGTTTTAAACAAGTCAATGGCTCGGGTCTCCGAGGGACTGTGAATTAGGAATCGTGGGGTGCAGGCTTGCGTGGGTCCAGTCCCAAGCTGTGCGTGCTGCAGGCGGGGCAGCTGAGCGTGCGGCCCCATGAAGCCGAGGAGCTCGTCCGAGGAAACCCTTCCCCTGGAGGCGTAGTCGCAGGATGGGCCTGGGGCTGTTCAAGAGTCTACCGGCTCGATGGTGGCCTTTGCTGCTGCAGACTTGGAGGGTACTTCGACGTTTTCCGGCTCGATGGTGGCCTTTGTTGAACATTATTAATTCTAAAGAATAATTATTGTTGGGACCCCTGGTGCACGGCCCCCCTGCGCCGCCTAGGCCGCAGCTACATTTTCATCATTTTCGTGAGGAAGCCTCAGGTAATACGATGTGATCAAGATCCGGTTGTTTTGTTGTAATCCGTTTTCCCTTGCAAAAAACACTATAAAATGACATTTCTTGTTCTAATATAATCAAATTTCAAGAATCCCTTGCAAAAAATAAGGTAAAGTGGACATTCGCGCGCGCAAGACGAAATCCTTCCAAAACCTTAGTGTTCGAACGATTTTAACATAAAAACATCAAAAAACCAATGGTTTTTCAACAAAAAATGTCAAAATCTCATCCCGCGCGCTCTTGCGGATTCGTAGGAAACCCAACACTTTTTAAACATTTCTGTCAAACGGGCTTTTGCGAGCAACTTTTTCGAACTTCTGCGACAACGGTTGCGCACCTGCCAGGGCCATCATCCCTGTCAAATAATACCATGCGGGACACATTCGTTTTTTCTTCGCGCGCGCACGCCGTCGTCGTCGGCCGCGGGGCCCTGAATAGTAGCCACGGTCGTCCGCATGCCACGAAGTGAAGTGTCCGAACGTCATAGGGCGGGAAGCTGGGTGTGGGTGGTGGCGAAGAGTCGTTTGGAAATTTGGTAGAGCTTGAACCGGCCCCCCCACAAAGTGGGGGTATTGCCCGCCTCCTATGAAAACCCTGGCACTGGTGAGAACGGAGTGTCCCCACGTGCTAGTAATTGTTGTTGTTGTTGTTGTTGCAGATTTGGAGACCGTGGCGCCCCTGCCAGGATGGCCACCTGCCGAGCAGCTGCCTCGGGCTTCCCACCGACCCCTCCGCTCGCGTCGACCAAACAAGAACACACCAAGAGGCCGGAAAGAGGTCGGCATGCGAGGATTCTCCCGCAAATCGCCCTCGCAACGGGTCAGGCCGTTCTACTACCCTTCCTGATCCGTGCTCCCTCCTCTCTCCTCCCTCCTCTCTCCTCTCTCCCCACATCCCGCTTACCTCCCTCTACCCTCCTCCCTCCCTCCCCTACCCTCCCTCCCTCCCTCCTCCCTCCTGCGCCCTCCTCTTCCTTCCCTCGGGAGCAGGACGGGACAGGAGGAGTATAGCGGGAGAAAGAGGAGGGACGCAGGGAAGAGCGAAACAAGGGGGAGGGACAGGCCGAACAGGAGGAGGGAGGGAGGTCGGGGGAACAGCAAGCGTCATGTTGCCCCCATCGTACTTAAGGACCACATCCCAGAAATAATTTCGAGCACCCAGACAAGTATCGAACACAGTGTCGAACGAGTATCGCCTCCCAGGGCCGGACACGTAGAAACCATCCAGTTTCTGTATGTTCTGGGTGCTTGACATTCTTCCTGGTGGCCAAGGCTAAAGTCGGTTGGAACCTCATCAAGCAAGCGGCACAAAGACATAAACTTTCGGAGCTCCGCGGACTTCTTGGATCAGCGCTGGCCCCCCCCCCCGGCCCTGCGACCGCGCATACGCAGCCTCGCACATCCGAGTCCAAAGCCGCAAGGGCGCGGAGACACGGCCAGATGTTCGCCGCCCGGGGAGTGGGCGGGCGAGGGCAACGAGGTCTGCACATTGAAGGGGCCCACAAACACACAAACAAATACACACAAATAACAGGAATGCCCATATTTTTTAATTTTTGTGGGTTTCTGTCTTCCCCCCCACTTCTCATATTTTCCCATATTTTCCTGGGGGTCGACGATTAATTGTGTCTGTGTGTTTTTTCCCCCTCCTGAGCCACGAGGTCTGCACAGATCCGCTGCTCCCTGGCCGGGGCCCTCCTGAACGCAGCGGCAGCGTGTGCGCCGTGCCCTCCCGGCGTGGCCGGAGGAGCGCAGGGTCAGGCCGAGGGGCAGCGGATCTGTATGGGTTTCGTCGCCCGACGGGGAGGGGGAGGAGGAGGAGGAGGAGGAGGAGGAGGAGGAGGAGGAGGAGGAGGAGGAGGAGGAGGAGGAGGAGGAGGAGGAGGAGGCGGAACTTCCTGCGCGAGACTCCACACGGGTCACCACGGCCGTGAAGTCTCTCCATGGTCGGTCGCGGGAGCCCCTCGCGGGTGCTCTGGGCATCCCGTGGCGGCGCGCACCGGGAGGGGGTGGGGCGAGGGCAGGGGCAGGGCCCCCGGGAGGGCAGGGGCCTCTGGGAGGCTCCCCCCCCCCCCCCGGGTCTCCGAGGCAGCCCTGTGCCTGGGAGCCTCCGCTCCCTTCTGGCAGGCCCCGCGCCGTCCCTCCTGGGATCCGGCCGGCTTCGCTCCGCCTCGGGCCCCGGGGACCCTCACAGATCGACCCGGCTCGAAGAACGACGCAGAGAGATTTGGGCAGCGTCGGGTCTCGAGGTCTCCTCGTGGCGCCAGAAGCGGTCCGGGAGCGGTGCCTCTGCCGGATCCCTGGGGCAGGGCCGAGAGATTACGAGGGGGGCCGATCCCGGCCAGGCCCACGAGGTGAAAGGGACCCAGGGACACAGACAAATAGACCCAGATCCCAGGATTCCCACTATTTTCATACATTTTCTTGGTTCTCGTCTTCCCCCCCTCACTTCCTGTGTCTCCACAACTTGTCCTGGGAGTCGCCGATGGACTGTGTCTGCGTGCTTTTTCCTCTGCTGAGAGGTGCCCGGGGCCTGGCGAGGCTCGTGTCGTGACGACCTGTGCGTTGGAGCCGGCCGGGGGTCTGCGGTGGCTCGGCACAGGTTCCGGTGGGCACGTTCGTGACCTCTCCGTTGGCCTCTGGGGGCCGTGCTCGGGCCCCAGGGCCACCATCGAACATGGATCCGGGGTGCAGACGCGCACCAGATGGACCCGGGGAGGGGCCCAGGACCGATGTTGCGCAGATTTTTTGTTCTAAACCAAAAAAGATGTTGCGTAGATTTGGCCTCATCCCCGCCTCCTGACGATTGTCTGGGACCCCGACCAGTTCGGACCCCTGGGCCGCCTCCAGCTTGCGCGTCAGTGTCTGACACCACGTGGATCGTGCAACCTTGAGCGATCGATGTCAGCATCGGATCAATCGAATGTCAGCATCAAATCGAGAATTCAGATCGAGTCGAAATGTGCGTCGTATCAGACTGCATCGGCACGGAGTCGAAATCCAATCGGATCGGCAGCATCATGAATCAGAGCAGCACCATGCAAACGTTGGGCCGGATATCGCATCGTCGTAGTATCGTGATGTCTGGACCGAATCCGATCCAGCCGGCCAGACTCGATATCGAATCGGATCGATCGGATCGAAGTGGAAGACTTCCCCTTGTTGGCATGCAGTAGCCAGTCCTGAGGGAAACGGGCCCTCGACCCCTGGGGCCTTCCCCGAGGGCCAGCTTCTCATTCCGAGTCGCTTCTTGACAGTCCCTGAGCCCGGGAAGTGCCCAGGAGACCGAAAACGGGGAAGAACCTGCAGCCTCGAGATCCGACGTCGCGAAACAATGAATCATCGTCAACATTCAAGACCAGAGCCCTAGACCGGATCTTTCTGCGATATTTTTCGAGCCGGATCGATCTGCGATGGTCCCCAAGCTCGGCACCTGGCGAAAACGCCCTGTTCGAAAAATGCAACGCCTGGATCTCAGGGGAGGCCGACAACGGGGAAGAACCTCGGGACCCCTCTCCTTTCGCTCCCTTCTGTAACAACTCATGGGAGCCTCCCATGTCATGTTGCTGGCTGTTGCGAATCGACACTCGCCGACGCAAACCGATGCTGATCGACGCTGACCGACGCTAGATCGACGCTAGACAAGAGCTTTCTAGTCGATTACCAGACACTGGCGCACGCTAATGCACTCCAAAAACGGAATTTCGAAGGATGCTCACATGAGCGACGGGAACTAGCAGGATTTACGCGAGAAGACATAGTGACCTTACGCCGCGGCTTACGCGGGCCGCTAGCGTGGCACACCGCGTGGTGAAGAGGGCGCTTACGCGCGACCTTACGCGCGAATGTCGACGCCAGTCGACCCCGTTGATTGCCGGCGCGCGCAAGGGGTAGGGGGAGGAGGGAAGGTTTCTGGGAAGGAGCCTCCTTCTTAGAAGGCGCCTGCCCTACATCTACAGACAAGGCCCACGCCTTCTAAGCAGGGTGCTCCCAAGAAGCTTTCCCCCCTCTCCCTACCCCACTCTGCGCATGGTCGAGCTTGATTCCGTCGCTCACACGAGCTGCCAGGAACGACTCACACGAAGTACCACCGGATGCACCCATCCGTGGCAACGTATGGGAGCCTCTCATGTCATGTTGCTGGCTCTTGCGAATCGACGCCGAGCGGCGCTGATCGACGCTAAATCAACGCTAGTTGACGCTGATCGACAGTCGACGCTACATCGGCGCCATCTAACCGAGTACCAGACGCGAACCGACGCTAGTGCCCTCTGAAGTCGGAATTGCAAGGGCTTGCAAGGCTCCCCTGAGTTGACACCTTGGCTGCCCCGAGACGCAGCATGCAACCCGTAGCGTGTTGACACGGGGCTCAACGCGCAGATCGACACGCAGGTCTGGCGCGACACCTTGGCCCGAACACGGGCCACAACACGTGCCGAGCCCACTCGCACCGTGTCAACACGCACGTCTTGCACACGGCACGTGCTGCGCTTCGAGACGGGCCTACCAGGGCAGCTCCAGGCCCCCCCCCCCCCGCGACGCGCCGCCAATTGGGCCCAAGGAGCGCTGCCCGCGCGGAGCACCGGCGCCCGCGCGCGGCGCTCCGCGCCGCCGGCCCCACAAATCATCGGCAGCCCGTGGGCGCCAAAGGGAGGTCCGCCAGCGGCGTGGCGCGCCCTCGCGCCGAGCACGGTTGCGTGATCGTCGGCCCCGAACCAACAAGAGTGGCAATGCGCCACCGCCGAGAATCGATCCCTGACTCTGGATAATCGCGGTACGTTCGATCCGTATAATAGGGAAGCACGATAAGGGTGCAAGGGCCTTAGAAGGCCATGCCCACACTCTGCGAGCGGGGCGCGGTCAGCGAAAGCGGCCACGGATGGGCCGAAGGGAAAGGACGCAAGGGCACCCTTGGAAAATCGCTTATCCTCACTACGCGTGTCGACTGTAACCAAAAAGAGTGGCAAAGCGCAACCGCCGATAATCGACCCGTTATAATCGCGATCATCGGTTCCCGACGGTGCGCCGTCTGGGCGCCAGGCTTGACTGAACCAAGAACAAATGACTTTCCATGTTGGACACAAATTGTCAACTCTCTGTCACGGAGGTGCTCATTATGAGCCACGTTTCCATCGCGGAGCACGGAGAGCCTTGACAAAACCTTTTCCCCGATTTGTGGCTGCCGCATCCGCGGCGACCTCCGAAACCGACCCGGAGGTTTGGTTCGGGGTCGGGTATGACGCAACGGGAATACAAAAGCGTCGTGCACGGTCCCTGACGTCCTGGCGCCGCGGAAAAATCATGACGAACAGGCCCCAGGGGCAACGTCAGTGGGGGGATGGGGGCTCTGGCTCGAGGTTTTCGGATGTCCTCGGCCTTTCTGCAGCCTCGGGATGCCCTCTGGCAGCCGCGCCTCGCCGAGGGCGTTCCTGGGGGTGCTCCGATCGTCCCGAGAGGCCGCCAGAGCCCCGAGTTTTTTATGGCCCGAGAACCACCAAAAGGTCAACGTCACAGACACTGCTTGGCAATTTTCGGCCTCCGTGGACCCTCTATCAAGCCCAGGGGCTGGCAGAGAACGACTCGGGATGAAGCGCCGGTCCCCAGGAAGAGCTCCAGACCTTTGAGGGGCGCCGCGCCATGAAAAGTCCACGACGCCAGATGCCCGGGCTGGGTGAAGGCGAACGCTTCGGCCGTGCGAATTCGGCTGGGCGCGCGTGCCCCGGGAGTCAGCGGCAGAAGGCGGGCGCCAGCGCCGCGGCTTTCGGCCCTGGCCTCTCCCGCCTCTCCCTACGCAGCTGCTCCCGGCGGGCGGTGCCAACACAAAGAAAAGTGAATTCGGCATGGGGCGATCAAGGAGAGGGGGAGATACGGAGATAGAGAGAGAGAGAGAGAGAGAGCGGGAGAGAGAGGAATCAGGGCCCTCCAAACCAGGAGAGGACATTGCCAAGGAAGACTTTCAGCCTTCCACCTGGAAGGGAACGAAGAGCGGAGAATGATTCGACACGCGGCTGCAGTGTTCCTGGGCGCGCCAGTGTCCTGGCTCAAGAGATGGAGAGACAGAGAGAGAGAGAGAGAGAGAAGGACATGGCTCCTCTGGCCGCGAGCGGCGGCCCTGGCTGCCCCGCTCCAAGGCTCTGCCCGCCCAACATGGGGTGGACGAGAGTGAAGGGGCCCTGGGACACACAAATAAATACACACAAATAAAAGGATTCCCCATATCTTCCAGTATTTTCTGGGTTTCTGTCTTCCCGCCCACTTCCCATATTTTCCAATATTTTCTGGGGAATCGTCGATCAATTATGTCTGTGTGCTTTTTTCCCTCCTGAGAGAGGGGTGCCGTCGGCAGGGGGGGATGATGGAGGGACGCTCGGGTTCCCGCAGGGGTGGCGCTGGACGAAGGGTGACCTCTGGAGCACGGCTTGCGGATCTTCGCATGCGATGCGGCAGTCGCGACCTGCGTTCGTGGGCCTGGCCCCCCCCCCGCGCCCCCCGGTAGCCGCGCGCCGAAGGTCGCTCCTTCGAAGGGCCACTCCTACGTCTGGCCGAGGCATCGGCCAAGCTACGCGCAGCTGGCTTTTACAGCGCCAGGGGCCACCGCGCATCGAGAAAGCTGACGAGCGGCGGGCCCGAAGCCGGCTGCAGGAGGCAGATGTCGTACCCTCCCCTTTCCGCGCCTCCTTCGTTATGGGCGGGAGGATCATATCCACATCCACGCCCTCGCGGCCTGGTCTCCGCGGCCGCGATTCCACGAGAAGGTCGGGGCGGCGCTGCGCGGGATCTCCTGTCCGCGGGATCGCGCCCTGGGTAACGAGACCGCAGGAGGCATGGACACGGACACGCCCGTCGCTCGAGATGGTCGTCCATCCAAAGATGTTGTGTCGACGGGGCCGCCCCCGGGTCCCACATTTCAGCCTTGCCTTCGCGGTCGATGTAGGAGCGCAATCGTCGGCAGAATGAACGTCCATAGTTCAAGCCCAGAGACGCACCCGTTTTCAACACTGAAATTGGGGGACGCAGGGGTTCTCAACGCATGGGCGCGGGTTCCTCCGCTTGGTGGGCGTTTTCTTAACACCAGTTGCGGGATTCTTCTCCCAGGCGGCGCGCACGAGGGGGCGGCGCGAGGGAGGCTGGTCTTCTCAGAGGGCGGGGGGGCTCCTTGACGGCAAGGGTCTTCCCAGGAGGACCCCGAGGCTGCTAAGAGGGCCTCGCAGAAGCCGGGAGTTCCTCTGACAGGCACCCCCTCGCCTCCTCTACGAGGCCTCCCTCGCCTTCTTCGGAGGGCGCCCCCGGTCGCGCCACACCACTCTCCGAGAGCCGCCGTGCCGGCAAAACTGCAGGGTCGCCCGAGCTCAGGAGCGGAGCCCTGGGCCCAGTCCTCCCGCGGCATGTTTTGGGCCAGCTCGGTCTGTGATTGTCTTAGGGTCAGGTCGGGCCTGTCCCCCTACAGGGGGATTTATGACGAAAAATAACATATGTTCAAAGAATTTTCAGAAGATGCCCGAAAATAATAAAAAAAGGATCCCCCGACTATTCTTTGTCTATTTTTGAATACTCCTCCTGTAGAGGGACAGGCCCGACTTAATCCTAGGGCCCGAAAGCCTGGTGAAAAAGTCGCGCGTGGAGAAATGGCAACGCCCGGAGCTCAGGGTAGTGCACACCATTACCTCTCGTCCGACGTTGCAATTTCTTATGGCGTCGGCCCCTGGGGATTTCGACCACGTCCCCGGGGCCAATCTTTCACCCTGAAATGCTTTTTGACGGTCCCGGGGCTGGGATCCGAGCTCCATGGGCCGACAACGACGAAAAGCTGGCCGTCGCGATTTTGGTTGCAGCGCCTGAATCTAACGGTAGTGCACGCCGCCAACCTCCTCTGCACCCCCTCCCAAGACATCCTCCGGTATGCTTCGCTCAATCCGCGGCCACGCAAAAGCTCCCGCCCCCGGGTACTTTTGAAAGGGCCCTGGGACACACATATGAATAGACACAAATAACAGGATTCCCCATATTTTCCTATATTTTCTGGGTCTTCGTCTTCCCCCCCACTTCCCACATTTTCCCATGTTTTCTGGGGAATTGACGCTTAATTGTGTCTGTGTTTCCCCCTCCCCCTCCTGAATTTTTTTCGTCCTCGATCCATTCTTGATTTTTCCCAGGGCAGGAAGGCGGGCTCCAGAGAGGCCGCAAGGAGGGAGGAGAGCCCGGGGCTGAAAGACCGAAGGGGCCCAGGGACACACGACGACTGGAAACGCACAAATCCCAGGATCGCCCATATCTCCCAGCATTGCCTCCTCGAGTTTCGCCCTCATGCTTTCCCATGCTCTCCTCGGGAATCGATGATTCCTTGTGTCCGTGTGTCTCTTCTCTCCCTCCCGAAAAGAACCCAGGTCCTCGGAGGTCCGGGGCTTTCGGGCCAGAGCGCGGGCCTCCCGCGGACGCTCGGGACGCTGCCGGGCGCCCGCAGAGGAGGGCCCTCGGCAGCGTCGCGGCTGCTGGAGCGCACCCCGAGGCTGGGCAAGGGGGAGCCGCCGGGGACCGAAGCAAAGGTCTGATGTCTTTGAGGCCTGCGCGGCCTGCGCGGATTTCTTGGATCGGCGCCGACTGCCCCTCCCTGGCGCGCGGAGCGCGCCAGGGGCGGCGCCGGGGAGCCGCCGAGGACCGAAGCAAAGGTCTATGGCGATTGGGCGCGCTGCTGGCCTCCCTCGGCCTTCGGCACGCCCCTCCGCAGGTGTCGCCGCCGTCGCCGACGACGAGGACGACGAGGACGACGAGGACGAGGGCGAGGGCGAGGACGACATCGAGCGAGCGAACGACGCCAAGCGAACGACGACGACGACGACGAGCGAACGACGCCGAGCGAACGACGCCGAGCGAACGACGACGAGCGGACGACGACGCGCCGCGGGCTACGACCGCTGGCTCTCGGGCGTCTCGCGCTCGCTGGGCTGGAGGAATGAAAAAACGGCAGAAGTCTCAGGTCGGGCATGCCCTCCTACAGGCAGATTTTGGATGCAAAATAACAAATAGTCAATACAGATTCGAAGTAGTCCAAAACAGTAGAAAAATCGTCCCCAGACTATTTTTCACTGTTTTTGAATTTTCCCCCCCTGTTGAGGACATGCCCGACTTAACATAAGTCTGATGTTTTTGAGGCCTGCGCGGATTTCTTGGATCGGCGCCGACTCCCCCTCCCTGGCGCGCGGAGCGCGCCAGGGGCGGCGCCGGGGAGCTCCAGCGCCGATCGGAGAACTCCGCGTGGAGCTCCGAATCTCTCTCTCTCTGTATATAGTTATATATAGACATATGTATATATATATATATATATATATATATATATATTAATGCTTATGCCGCTCGCAAAGTAAGGAGAGCAATAACCAGGTTGGGAGGAAGGGGTTGGGAGGACGAAAGGTGTGAGCCATAGCATCGGGGCGCAGTGGACGATACCTTCGACCGCCTGCGGGCACTGATATCCTCACTTCTCCCAACCCCATCCTCCCAACCCGATAATTGTGTTCCCTCTGTGTGTGATGATTGCGCGCGCCGCCAGCCTCCCTCGGCCCTCGGTACATTCCTCTTCAGGGGTCGCCGTCGCCGAGGACGAGGACGCTCCCTGCTCCTCGCTCCGCAGCCCCATCCCCGTGCTCCCTACGGCGCGCGCGCCGCGGGCGGCGACGGCCCGCTCTCCGCCGCCTCGCTCGCGCTGGGCGAGGGCGGCGCGCCCGTGCTGGCCGCCGTGCTCGCCTCGCTGTCGCTGGCGGCCCTCCGTGCCCTCTTCGCCGGCCCGCCCGCGGCACGGCCGCCGCTCCGGCGCTTCTCGGCGGCGCGCGCGAGGGGGCGGCGTCACGGGGGGCGGAGCCCCCCGAGGAGTGAGGAGGGAGGAGGGCGCCTCCTCCTCCTCCTCCTCCTCGGCCTCCTCTTCGCTCTCCCTCCTCCCCCTGCCTGGCCCAGCTCCTCCTCGTCGTTCCGGGGGGAGGAGTTTCGGGAGGGATGAGGGCTCAGGAGCGAAGGGGGGTAAAGGGGGAGGGAGGATGATAGCAATGACGAGAGGCCTTCTCGGAAGCCCCCTGGGCCCTCCTGAGATGGCCCCTGCCTTCTCAGACGCCCCCCCACACTCTTATGGAGGCCCCCCTCCCCGAGATCCGGTGTCACGGAAAACTTGCGACACCGTAAACAACGCTCGACCGGAGCCCTGGACCCCACCTTTCTGCGCCCTCTTTCGAGCCGGATCGATCCCTGAGGACCCCGGGGCCCGAAACACGGCGAAAACGCCCGCTGTGGACACATGGGCGGCGCCAAGCTCTCCGGGGGTCTTCCTTTGAGAAGATCACCCCGCCCCGCGCCACCCCGGGCCACCCCCATGCGCGCGCCGCTAAGCTTCGGGGCCTCTGGCGGCGCCGGCGCTGGCTCGGCGGCGGCCCGGATCGGCTCGAGGGCGTCGACGGCGGTCAGGTCGCTGATGCCGGAGCCGTAGTCTGGCAAGGACCGCCACACGCGCGGCGCGCGCAGGCGGCGCGCGAAGCGGAGGTAGAGGCCGTGCACCCGCTGGAGCTCCTCTTCGCTGACCTGCTTTGGGAAGCAATTTCTGCCGGGGTGCCAAAGCCGCGTGGTGACGTGCCGCGCGGCGATCTCGGCATCCCAAGAGGCCTCGCCGCACGGCCACGGCCCGTCGCCACATGGTTTTCAGACCCTGGAGGTCCCAGTCGCCCGAGACGTGCCTGGAGGTCGACCCGCGTCCCCAAACCGTGCATGGACCCCGACTCCCCACTGACTCACCACGCGGTGTGGTCCCCACACCGTTTGCTCGCCATCGCTCGGACGTCCATTCACTGTGTTTTTTCGGTTTCGTGCGCGGTTTTTTTTGCCAAATGATCAAGGATGCTCCTCCATGGTCCTCGCCGAAGGAAAAATGCACACGTCCGAGCGATGCCAAGTTTGTGGACCCCCGATTCTGGGAAGTCGTCGTAAGAACGATGGAGGGGCCACTGACCCTGAAGAGCACAGATTGCGCCCAGGATGAAGTCGGACTGGGCCAGATTGCAGGGGATTCGGCACAATGAAGCAAGACTCCACTGGATTAGGCGGATTTTCGACAGCGGATCTACCAGCGCCGACGCTGAACTTATCCTCCCAGGAGTTGCATCCTGACCCGAGGGACAGCAAGCTGCAAAACATAGACTTTCGGAGCTCCGCGCAGACTTCTCGGATCGGCGCTGAGGCCCCCGTGGCGGCGCCTCCGGCGCCGCCCCTGGCACGCTCTGCGCGCCAGGGAGGGGGTCCAGCTCAGATCCAAGAGATCCGCGCGGTCCGTCCAACATCTACATTTGCGCAGTTTTTTCTTCTCCGATCCTCGCCGACCTTCCGCCGCAGCAGCTCGTCCTCCTTGGCGGTGTCGATCTCCAGCAGCCTTCCTGGGGGCGAGCCCCGCAGGGTCACGCCCCGCGGTTGGCGGCAGAAGTAGGCCAGCAGCTTGAGGCGGTTCGGGATGTCCCCCTGGGAGGCGAGGGTCAGGAGCTCCTGCTTGGTGGACGTCTTCGCGTTCCCGATCTTCTGGCCGACGGCCTTCGGCTCGGCTGCCCCGATACGCAACACGCAGCTCGTGGCGTGCTGGCAAGGAGCTGGCTAGACACGTCGATGACACACGCAGGTCCGCCAAGACGCGGGCCAACGCGTGGAGCCGACACGCAGCGTGTTGCGCTTCACGATGGGCGTATCGGGGCAGCCACCCGCCGGTCGGAAGAGGTGGGTAGAAGCAGGAAGTAGGAGGGCGCTGAACGTAGATTGGGCCTCCGCCCGCCCCCTGAGGAGGAGGAGGGACGAGGGACAACCGCTCGACTCCTTGAAGCAGGAAGGCGCCTCGAAAAGGTTGAGATCTGGGCGCCCCAGAATCGGGGAGACGTAAGACTCGGGTACGGGGGACTCGGCTTGACCTGACGGGGCCACCATGGAAAATGACGGGACCCAGTCTGAAATTTGACGCGAGCTCCCGACGCAAGCGTCCCACGAAAACTGGACCGCCAAAATCCAGAATGGGCTCGTCCAAAAGCAGAGGCGAACCCGAGTTCCGGCTCACTCGAGTCTTACGCTTCCGAGAAAGAATGCCTGCTTTCAACGACCGACGGGCGAGGCCTTCAGGAGGCAGTCCTTGAAGCCCCGCCCCCAAAAGTGCACCTGAGTATCGTTTGACCGATCCCCATCCCCAGCGGCGTGGCCTGGGCCTCACTGGCCGATCTACCCCCCCATAGATGGGGATATAGGATTGGGGATGGGGATGGGGATTGGTTAAACGCTGCCGAGCACCAGGGACCCGCAGATGGCGTAGCGGGCCGGGCGGCCGCCGCCGCCCTTCAGGTAGGGCCGGTGGACCCCGAGGCGCCGCAGGCCGGCCGGCCGCGCCATGTACTTCCCGTTGGTCCCGTGGAAGCCGGCGTAGGGCGGCCGCGGAGTGCCTCAGAGACTCGACTGCGCGCAGCCCAGGAGGAGGAGGAGGAGGAGGAGGAGGAGGAGGAGGAGGAGGAGGAGGAGGAGAGGAGGAGGAGGAGGAGAAGGAGGATGAGAGGAGGGGAGAGGGGGAAGAGGAGGAGGAGGATGGGGAGGAGGGAGGAGGAGAGGAAGAAGGAGGAGGAAGGAGGAGGAGGAGAGGAGGAGGAGGGAGAGGAGGAGAGGAGGAGGAGGAGGAGGAGGAAGAGGAGGAGGTGAGATCCTGGCGACTCCATTTTTTCGAGGCGGGCGTCTTCGCTCCACTTCGGGCCCTGGGGCCCTTGCAGATCGATCCGGCTCGAAAAAGGAAGCAGAAAGATGGGTTCCGGGGGCCAGGCGTGATTTTTTGCGATGTCGCAGTTTTTTTTTGTTGTAATGTCGGATCTCAGGGAGGAGTGACGCTGTCGGCGACGAGCGGGGGGGGGGAAGCGAGAAGGAGGCCTTCTCAGAAGGCGGCGGGGCTTCTCAGAAGCCCTGGCGCCTTCCGAGAAGGTTTTGTGGTCTTCGGGGAAGGCCCAATCAACTTCTCAAAGGCCAGGGGACTTCCGAACCTCTTGAGAAGGCCTTCTCCTTTTCACTTCCCCCCCTCGCTCGCCGCCGACCCCGGGCAAGAGTGACCTCTGGTGCGCGGCTTTCGGGGGCCGCGGGGAAGCCGAACGCCGAGCGCGCAAGACACTGCCGTCGCACCGCGCTCCAGCTATCCGGGGACCCCGGGGCGCTTGCGCCAGAGGCCACTCCCACGCGAAAAACCGACGGGCGGCGAACGTGTCCGCATCCGCGCCCCCTCGCGGTCTGGGCCCCTGGCCATCGCTCGGACGTCCATTTCCTGTGCTTTTTTCGGTTTCGTGCGTGGGTTTTTCGCCAAATCATCAAGGATGCTCCTCGATGGTCCTCGCCGAAGGAAACATGCACACGTCCGAGCGATGCCAAGCACTGGGGCGCGGACCCGCGGATGCGCGGTCACACGGATGCGCGCCGCGCAGGGCGGCCGCGAGGAGGGCGCCCCGCCTCTGCGGGGCCGCGGCCCACGCGTGGGGCTCGGCCCGCGGGGCCGTGGGCGCGGATGTGTGCCTTGCGCCCGCGAGAGCGCCGGCGAGGCTGTCGAAGGGCACCATCAGCCAGTAGAACTGGTACACGTCTGCCGGCCGCCGCTTCACCAGGGTGGCCAGGTCGGGGATGGATCGGGAGCGGCCAAGAGGGGGGTGTCCAAGGGGGGGGGGTGCAGATCATGACCGGCGGCATGTGCGCGGCCCAGCGGGGGGGCCAGGAACGTACGGCAGGTTCGTGTCGTGCCGACCCCAGCGTTGGTTTTTGACACCGCAGGAATCGTTCAACCTTGAACGATCGGCCGCTGCCGCAACGTCCGATCGTTCAACATCGATCGATTCTGGGTCGCCGGCGGCGTTCAACCTTGAACGCCCGCGCTGGGGTCGCCGCTGGTCGACACGACGCAAACCTACCGTAATGAAATAAGAAGAGGCGCCATGAAAACTGGCATGATATCCCCCCTCCCCCTAGTCATCGCCCCCCTCTTTTCCGCCCCCGAATGGAGGGGGGCAGCACCCAGTATTCGTCCACGTCGACGTTGATCACCCAGTCGCCCATGGCAGCGTGCAGCGCCTCGTTCTGCATGCGGTTCACCTGGCCCTCGTCGCTCTCCGTGTTGATCACCACGAGCTCCGTCCCATCGACTGCATGGCGTGCGACGTAGTCGCAGACCTCTTGGAAGTGCGCTCGAAAAGTGTTCACAAAGAAAATCCGCTGGACGCCCATGCCTGCATAATGGCGGACGAATGAACCCACGTATGGAAGCTCTGCGTCGAAAATGCGGGTCACCACGCAGAACATGGGCCCGCCGATTGTCGGCTTGCCAATTCTGTGCTCCTGTCGAGCTGGCATGGCAAGATGTGATGGCACGCTGGGCGCTGGCTGGCCTGAAAAAACTGCCTGGACCAAAATGGCTGAGCCAAATGACTTCGGAAAGGGGTGGAATGAGATCTGCGGGATGAGAGTGAGAGAAAAAGAGAGAGAGAGAGAGAGAGAGAGAGAGAAAGAGAAAGAGGGAGAGCGAGAGAGAGCGATGAAGGAAGGAAGTAGCACGATCACAAGAAGTGAACTCCGACCCCTTCCCTGAGCGTTCCTGCTTGCTCCTTTCCTTTCCTGGGCGATGATGCCCGCTCCTGCGCATGGCACGTCAGGGTGCACCTCCTTTAGACTCGGTGAGGGATGGGACCCTGCCACGCAGCGACCACGCTGCGGTCGAGGCCTCGACACAAACCTGATCTTGCCCAGCACAGACGCGGTGGCACCCTCGCGCCACTCGCTCGGGTCACAGGCCCTGGGACTCCACCTCGGCCAGCTGCTGGATCCTGCTCAGGCCCGAGTTGGTCCTCCACAGGGCAGACTTCCTCTTCCTCCACTGGCCGCCCGCCGTCAGCACGGCCCCCGCCTCGTGCTCCGTGGCCGGCGCCGTCCACCTCACCGTGCCCGGGTGGCACGTCCCGGAGCTGTCCAGGAAGGGCTGCGTCACGGAGACGCCGCAGAAGGCCGGCCTCCGGTTCTCGGAGGGGCCCGCGGGCCTCCACAGCCGCCGCAGCGTGTGGGCCACCAGCTTCGGCTCCCGGGCCCGGGTGAACACCCCCTTCCGGTTGTGGACCATGCGGGTGATGCTCTGGCTGACCCGGAAGTCCGCGAAGCTCCAGACGTGGGCGCCCAGGAACCACGGCCTGTCGAGCAGCCTGGTGTACTGGAGCTCCACGATCTTGGACTGGAACTCCTCGCTGAACATGACCTCTGGCAGCTGGTGCACTCCCGCGACGGCGTCGGCCCCGAACTCCGCCAGCAGGACCGGCTTGCCGAACGCCTTGTGAAAGCTCTCCACGTCGAGCACGAAGTCGACCAGGCTGTCCTCGATCCTCCCCGTCCACTCGTACCACCCGTAGTACTTGTTGACGCAGAGCACGTCGAACAGGACGGCCATCGGGTTGCTGTCGGGGTCCAGGTGCATGGCGTACGTCAGCGGCCTGGCGGGGTCCAGCGACCTGGTGAGGCCCACCAACGCGCGGAAGAAAACCATGCACGCCTCCGTCTCCTCCGGGCTGGCTGGCCTCTCCTCCTCCTCGCCCTGCACAGGCCCGGGGCCGTTCGGCTCGTTCGCCAGCGACCACATGACCACGCAGGGGTGGTTCCGGTCTCGGCGCACGTGCGCCTCCACGACCGGCAGCGCCCTCTGCAGCACGCTCTGCTTGTAGAGCCGCGGCCCCAGGCCCACAAACGGGTTCTCCGAGATCACCAGCACGCCTCTCTCGTCGGCGAAGTCCAGCCACTCCTCCGCGTACGGGTAGTGGGACGTGCGGAACGAGTTGGCCCCTACCCACTGCATCAGGTCGTAGTCCTTCACGATCAGCGGGTGGCACAGCCCCTTTCCGATGACATCAAAATCCTCGTGCTTCCCGAAGCCCTTAAAGTGAACGGGCTTGCCGTTGAGGAGGAAGCTGTTGCCGCTGACCCTCACGTCGCGCACGCCGAAGCGCACGCGGTAGCTGTCTACGGGGCTTCCGTCGGTCGCCAGCAGCGTCACGGCCAGCGTATACAGATGGCCCTCCCCGACGTCCCAGACCCGGGGCCTGTCGAGCCTCAGCGTTGCGTTGACCACGGTGGCGCCTCCCACGTCGACGCGCGCGCGGGCCGCCGTGGTCGCGATGCTGACGGGGAACGTTACGGGGGGGACCGGCTCAAGGGGGGAACCATCGACCCGGGATCGGCAATACACCGCCGCCAGATCGGCGGCAGGTCCCCGATAGCCAATCCGCACCCCCCTCGGCGAGAGAGGGCTCTCAGGCCCCTCTCGGCGCCGACTGGGCGATCGGGGGTCGCTGCGCCCCTCTCCCCCTTTACCACTCCTCCTCCTCCTCCTCCTCCTCCTCCTCCTCCTCCTCCTCCTCCTCCTCCTCCTCCCGTCCCCGATGGTTTTCGGGCCATGAACCTGGGCCTCCGGCGGGCGTCGGGACGCTCTGGGCACCCCCAGAACGCTCTCGGTCTCGGTCTCGGCGAGGCGCAGCCGCTAGAACGCACCCCGAGGCTGGAGGACCGCCGAGGACCGTCGAAGGCGTGCGCGAACCTCCGACGTCGCTCCTGAGCCCCCCCCCCTAGCGTTGCCCACGAGATGCCCGGCCGCTCCCGCGGCGAGCGCGAGCTCGCCGAGTCCCTGCCTCCGCGGGAGGCGGAGGCCCCTGCGCTCCTAGAGGCCTCCTAGATGGGGTCCGAGCAGATGGGGCCAGGAGATCGCGCCGCATCGCCGATGCATCGGCGACACCCGCAAGGCAACGGCGACGCTGGCGAGGAGAACATCGGGCTCCACATCGTCGATGCATCGCCGATGCGGCGCGATCCTCCGACCCCGCCTGCTCCCGACCCCATCTGGGCTTAGCTGCCCCAGTACGCAGCACGCAGCCCGCGCGGGTGGACAAGGAGCTCAACACGGAGATCGAACGTGTACGTTGGGCGCGAGTGGCGCAGGACGTGGGCCGGCACGTGCCGAGCCGACACGCACCGTGCCGACACGGACGCTTCGAATGCGGCACGCGTTGCGCCTCCAAACGGGCGTGTCAGGGCAGCTAAGCACCCGGGAGGCCCCCCGCGCTCCCAGCGGGAGGCCCAGGCCTCACGGGCGACTTGGCCAGCACGCGGCGCGGCCGCGGCGACTTGGCCTCGCGGGCGACTGCGCTCACCTCGAGGCGCAGGGAGCCCGCCGCGGGCGCGCTGAGCTCCACGCGCACGGCGACGTCCGCCTCCTCGGGACTCTGGCATCGGGCGTGGCTGGAGGCGCCCCTGGCCCGAGGTGCCCCCCAGGATCTCCGAGGAGGCCCCGCGGCCTCCTGCTCCTCGTCCTCCTCGTCGTCCTCCCCCTCCCCCTCCTCTGCTCCTCCTCCTTCCTCCTCCTTCCTCCTCCTCCTCCTCCTCCTCCCCCTCCTCCTTCTCCTTCTCCTCCTCCGCGGCCTCCAGGGAACCCCTCACGAGAGGCCCCCGGGGGGCCTCCGGCTTGGAGCGAACGGCTGGGGGCCCCCCCCTGGCCAGGGACAAGCTGCAGCAGCCCCCGATCTGGGTGGCCGGGCGCTGCGCGGTGGTCACGTGCAGGTCCAGGATGCGGGGGCCCTTGGCCATGGGACGGGGGAAACAACCACGGCACGGACTCCGCAGGGGGGGTGGGGAGGATGAGGAGGATGAGGAGGATGAGGAGGATGAGGATGAGGATGAGGATGAGGATGAGGATGAGATGAGGATGAGGATGAGGATGAGGATGAGGATGAGGATGAGGATGAGGATGAGGAGGAGGAGGATGAGGATGAGGAGGATGAGGAGGAGGAGGAGGAAGAGGAGGAGGAGGAGGAGGAAACAGAAACCTGCGGGGCTGCGTGCGGACTTCTCGGATCCACCCCCGTTGGGCCCCCTCGGGGGGGGGGACCGCCTGCGGCACCTGGGGTTCGTCGCTCCTGCAGCGCCAGGGAAGCGCGCGAAGGAAGGAGGGGACCCAGCGCCGATGCAAGACATATCCGCGCGGAGCCCCGAAAGCTGATGCTCGTGCCATTCTTGTCTCCTCCGAACGGAATACAAGACCACGGGGCGGTGGATGCCCGAGAACGGGAAGAAGTCGTACGCGACGTCAGGGAACGCGTTGCCCCATCCGGCGCGGGTGTCCTCCTCGGACTGCGACGCGGGGGGCAGGGCCTCCACGTCCAGCGAGCCGTCCGCGAGCACCACGAGCACGTTCTCCTCGCCGAACCTCAGGCAATCCGTGACCTCGAACTCGAAGGGCAGGTGCGGCCCGGTGTGAGCTCCCAGCCGAGTGCCATTCAGCCAGACCTCCGCGTTCTGGCACACGCTGCCAAAGTAGACGAAGACCTGGCGATCCCGCCAGGAGGAATTCGGGAAGAACGCCTTCTGGTACCAGCCCTCCGAGAAGTGGCTGTTCGAGTGGGGGATCGACTGCAGAATGGATTCCCCCCCTACATTCATTCCCGCGCCGAACCTACAAGACTCCGTGGAACCATCGACGAGCAGTCCACGTATTCAGAAGACTCGACGGGGCAATCCGCTCTGGGGGTCAACCAGCTCTGCAGCCGATCCCCTGCTCGAGCTGTAGAGGTCCATGCGCTGCTCGTTCCAGCTGCCCGGCACCCCGATCAGCCGCGGCTCCGTGAGGCCCAGGTGCAGCCCCTGGGCCCGGCCACCGCTCGAGGCCTGGGGCTTGGCCGATGCTGCAACCATCGGAGGCTGCCAGAGGCGCCCCCCCCGCCGGCCCCAGGGCGAGGGGAGAGAGAGCCGTGCACACGCACCGATTCTGGCCAGGCCCATCCCGAGCCCAGGATCAGTGTGCACACGCCCTCCTGCCTTGGCCAGGAGAGCTTGTGCACCGATCCTGGGTCAAGGATGGGCCTTGCCAGGATCGGTGCATGTGCATAGTTCTCTTCGCCCGGCCAGGGTGTCCCCAGCTTGTCGCGTCATGTTGGAGCTCGTGGGGGCCTCCCTTTTTGGGGAGTTTTTCCTCCCCGCAAACCATCACCGCCAAACGAAGTTAATAACTGCTCTGGTTCGTCTTCGTCGTCAGACCCTGGGGCTCTCTGGGCCTCGCGAGGGGCGCCCTGGTGGCCTCGGGGGGCCTCCTCGGAACTCCTGGGGGCACCGTGGGCCAGGGGCACTTCTGGCAACCCCCGGACAAAAACAAGCGCTGGTTTTTACCGTTTCCCGCTTGTCGGTTCTCGTCCAACCAAGCTGGAATGGCAACGGCAGCCTAAGCATGACAAAAAAGGCAGTACAGCACGGAACCGAACCGAAAACGGCGCGCACGAGAATTCCCCAAGCGGAACAAAAAACTGCCCCCCCCCCCCAACGGGGCAACGACGCCAATCTTGAATACGGGAAAGAACGTCCCCAATGTTTTTGGCATCATCTCTCGGCGGCGAGCCCATGGGGGAAGTCAGAAGGCGCGGGCCTTCTTTGAAGGCTCGGAACTCCCCCAGGCCTACTGAACAATTTTCTCAACCTTCCCCGAATAAGCAGAAAACTTCCCGAGAGGGCGCGAGGGTTTCTGAGAAGTCCCGCCGCCTTCTGAGAAGGCCTTCTCCTTCTCACTTCCCCCCTCGCTCGCCGCCGAATCTGCTGCTTGGGTCATATCTCGGGTCTCCAGCCCGCGTTCGGGACGATCCGGGCACCCCTGGAACACCCTCGGCGAGGCGCGGCTGCCGGCAGGCCTCCCGAGGCTGGCAACTCTCGCTGATCGCCGACGAAGAAACGCCCGAAGACCCCGAAGACCTCTCGAAAGCCTCTCGAGCCCCGCCGCCTTCTGAGAAGGCCTTCTCCTTCTCACTTCCCCCCTCGCTCGCCGCCGAATCTGCTGCTTGGGTCATATCTCGGGTCTCCAGCCCGCGTTCGGGACGATCCGGGCACCCCTGGAACACCCTCGGCGAGGCGCGGCTGCCGGCAGGCCTCCCGAGGCTGGCAACTCTCGCTGATCGCCGACGAAGAAACGCCCGAAGACCCCGAAGACCTCTCGAAAGCCTCTCGAGCCCCCCTCGCTCGGCGCCGATCCGCGGCCTGGAAGTCCCAGAACCCGTCCAGGCTCAGGCACTCCCGGCACGCATTCTGCTGCGGCCGCAGGGACGCCGCGGGCGCCATCGGGGCGCCGCGCCGAGCGGCCGCGGGCGAGGCCGCGGGGGCCGTGGGGGCCGCGGCTGGTGCGGCCCCCCACCGGAGGAGGGGCGGAGGAGCTCTCTCTCGGAGCCGAGAGGGCGCCGGTCCCCCCCCGCTCTTCCCCCGAGAGAGGCCCTGGAGACACGGAGGGCAGGCAAGCGCGCTCCACGACTCGCAGCGAAACTGCCCGCAAATGGCCTGGATCCGCCGCCTGATCCATGTATATATATATACACATGTCTATGTTTATATATATATATATGCATGTATGTATATGTATATATATATATATGTATTTATCGCTCTCTCACTCTCTCTCTTTCTCTCTCTCTCTATCTGTGACTGTCTGTCTGTCTGTCTGCCTGCCTGTCTGTCTGTCTGTCTGTCTGTCTGTCTGTCTGTCTGTCTGTCTATCCATATACATATCCTAAGCCTACCCGGGGCCCAACTAACCCAAATGCCGTAGCATCCAAGCCCAACTAACCCTACCCGGGGCGTGCTACCCTAAATCGTTAGTGCGAACCCTTTCCTTCAAACCCTGACCCTAAGACGTGATGCCGAACATGCGAACAGTAACGCTACCTTCCCCAACTTTCCACCCTGAGCCTGCCTCTGGCACGCGAGCCCCGCCATCCTAACGCGAAGCTTCTACTTGGTCACTACAGTCTGTAACACCCGGCTGGAACCCGAACCTCGTCACCCTAACCTCAACACTCTACCCCTAAACCTAGCGCGGATACCCTAGCACCCGAAACCTAACCCTGACATCCCTATCCCTGGGCACTAATTCAAACCCTAATGCCCTGACCGTAATCCTAATGTTTTCGCCGTGAACGCACTACCTCTAGCACCCTGACCCTCGCCCTAGGACCCTGGCCCTAAACTTTCCCCAGCCGTGCCGCCCTGACTGTAACAACCTGAGCCCAACACCCTCATCATAACCCTCATGCCCCAGCCCCGCCGCCCTAATCTTCATCGTGATTCTGACACCCCTCAGGGTGTTCATGCCAAGGCTAATGCTCAGGGTCAGGGTGCTAGGGTTAGGATGCAACGGTTCGTATCTTAACTTAGGGCGTAGGTGCAATGGCGTAAAAAGTTAGAGCTCGCGTGTACGGGCCTAGCTCGCTGAGAGGTCGAGTGTTTGTGTCAGGGTGATGGTGTCACAGTTAATGGTTTGGTTTACTGCTTAGGGGTAGAATGCTAAGATTAGCGCCAGGGTGTTAGGGTTGTGGTGTCAGGTTTAGGGGGTCGGAACTGGGGTGCTGACTTCGTGGTGCTAGGATGCTAGGGTGCTAAAGCTACGGGGGAGGGGCACTGTTCGTGTTTAGGGTTAGAACGCTAGGGTCGATGTTAGGGTGCTAGGCTTCGAGTGTCAGGGCAATGGTGGAACCGGTAGCTTGCTGCGATGTGGATATGTGGCGATCGCGGCGTGAGTGCCGCTCGTGGCGGCCTGCGTCGCGGGAGAGGGGGGGGGGGAGGAGGAGGACAAACGGTAGTAGCAGGATGTGGTAGTACATGGGAGTCTGAGAAGGAGTGGCCGTCCTAGTTTGGTGATTCTGGCGTCGTTCCACCCATCCGAAGGGCCTGCGCGATGAGACAGAACGCTTTCGGAACATATATCTAAACAAGTATTGCGCCATACTGAGTTGCAATGGATGAGGTTGCGGTATCTACCCCCCGAAAAGGTATGGTGTGGAGGGGAACGGGGAGGGTGAGATGAGTGATGCGGATGAAGAGGAGCTAGATCAGCTGATGCTGATGATGATGCTGATGATGATGACGATGATGATGGTGATGGTGATGATGATGATGTTGATGATGATGACCATGCTGATGATGATGCTGCTGCTGATGATGATGATGATGATGATGATGATGGCGGTGGTAATCATGGTGATGAGGATGGTGACGATGATGACGCTGATGCTGATGCTGCTGCTGCTGCTGATGATGATGATGATGGTGATGATGATGATGATGATGATGATGATGATGATGATGATGATGGTGATGATGATGATGACAGTAAGGAGGAGGAGGAGGAGGAGGAGGGGGATGGGAGGGGGAGGGGATGATGATGAGATGCGGAGGATGATGAGGATGGTGATGATGCGGATCGGCGGAGGGAGGTAGGGCGATGAGGAGGATGAAGAGGAGGCGGAGAAGGCGGAGGAGGAGGAGGTAGGAGGAGGAGGACGAGGAGGAAGATGAGGAGTAGTAGTAGGAGGATGAGGAATAGGAGGAGGATAGGAGGAGGATAGGGGAAGAGGAAGGAGGAGGAGGAGGAGGAGGAAGAGGGGGGAGGAGGAGGAGGGGAGGAGGAGGAGGAGGAGGAGGGGGGAGGAGAGGAGGAGGAGGCGGAGGAGGAGGAGGAGGAGGACGAGGAGGAGGGAGCGTAGGGAGTAGGAGTAGGAGTAGGAGTAGGAGTAGGAGTAGGAGGAGGAGGAGGAGGAGGAGGAAGAAGAGCAGGAGGAGGAGGAAGAGGATGAGGATGAGGAGGAAGAGGAGGAGGAAGACGACGACGACCATAACGAGGACGACAACGGGTACCACGACCACGCGGAGGACGACCACGACTACGACTAAGACGACCACTGGGACGACTACGACGACAACGACGCCGCCGCCGACGACGACGACGCCGACGCCGACGCCGACGACGCCGACGACGACCACGACGCCGACGCCGACGCCGACGCGACGGCGGCGGGGTCCCGCATCGCGCTCGTCGAGTCCGCAGGGCTGCTCCTCCAGCTCCGGGGGCAGCGGAGACAAGGCGCCCGTCCGCCGCAAGCCTCGCGGTCGCGCGCGCGGGGTGGGGGGCGGAATGGCGGCGGAGGTCTGGCCGCCCCCCCAAAGGGCGCTCGGCGTGGCCGGCGGGAGGCACGAGCAGCAGCGGGCGGGAGCAGGGGAAGGGGGGGGAGGGAGGGTAGGCGGGGAGGAGGGGGGGGAGGGGGGACAGGGGGGTGTAAAGGGGGGGGTTGGAGAGGTAGGGGACAGGATGGGGGGGAGGCAGAGGAGGGGAGGGAGGGGGAGGAGGGGGGGGACGGCGGGGGAGACGACGGGGAAGCAGAGGGAACGGGAGGACGACGGGATGAGGTGGTTAATGGAAAACGAAAAGAGGATGAGGGTAAAGAGAGGGGAGGCAGAGGAGGAGGAGGAGGAGGAGGAGGAGGAGGAGGAGGAGAGGAGGAGGGGAGGAGGAGAAGGAGAAGGAGGAGGAGGAGGAGGAGCAAGCATCATATTGGAACTATCGCTCTCATAATTACGTATCATACTATTACGGACATTAGTAGCAATATTAATATCATTAATATTGCTACGATGCTGCTGCTGATGGTGCTGATGTGGTGATGGTGGTGGTGGTGATCATGCTGCTGCTATTGCTGTTGCTGATGCTGGTAATGCTGATAAATGTGTGATGAGAAAGAGAGAGAGAGAGAGAGAGAGAGAGAGAGACATAAGCAACATCATTCCTACACGTGAGCAGCAACTTGAGCAACACCGCTAGCAGCAGGATCATGATGATAAGGAAGATGGACGAAATGGATGATGCATATGATGATGATGCTGATGATGATGATGCTGATTATGATGATGATGATGATGGTGGGCATTTTGATGGTTATCATGCTGATGATGAGGATGATGATGAGGTTGCTGCTGCTGATGATGAGGATTATGCTGCTGCTGATGATGACGATAATGATGAGCAGAAGGATGAGGAGGATGATGAGGATCATGCTGCTGCTGTTGATGATGCTGATGCTGCTGCTGCTGCTGATGATGATGGCGATGATGATGTCGAGGAGGATGAAGGGGAAGGAGGAGGAAAAGGAGGGGGAATATGAGGCAGAGGAATGAGAGAGGCAGATGAGGCGGAGGATAATGGTGATGATGAAGGTGAGGATGAGACTAGATGGACCACCATGAGCGGTGGTGGAAATGCTCGTGGCAGTACTCCTGCTATACAATCGTGCCAGCAAGATTTGCGGCCATACGAACTGGGCTGCCGCCGTGTTGACGGGCAGTTCCGCGTAGATGTATTTTTCCTATCTCCCTCTTCCTACGGTGCTGCACTGCCTCCCATCCGTGATCATTCGGGCTCCTGCCGCGGTGGGTCGCCAAATCTCCTCCTCCCCTCCCTCCTTCGGTGCCGCCCTCCCTCCTCACCCCCTTGGGGTATCGACCGACTGGAGGGCTTCCCGCGGCAGCCGTGGTGCCCCCCCCCCTCCTCTGGCTCCCGTCCAGCCTTCCTCCTGCCCGCCCGCTGATGGCCAGCTCCTGCACATTCTCTTATTCGGCGTTTCGACATTGGGCGGAAGGGGGGAAGGGGGTGGGTCTTGCTCCGGACCTCTGCTCAGCGCGACTGCTGGCAGCAG